GTTCCCTGCTCGTGACACGGGCTGGAAAGGGTCCTAGGGGCAGAGCTGGGCAAAAGGAGAAGGTAAGCAGCAAGAAAGGCTGAAATTCAGGGAAGTGGATGACTCTGCACAGCAGAGGACAAAAAAGCCATGAGAGGCTCAGGCCGTTCAGAGCCAGCGTGTACATTCACCCCGGGAAGTTCAGAAGTTTGCGATGCCGGGTGATGATTCCCGTGTTCCAGAGGAAATGCGGCACTTGCGGGTTGGATTTCCCTTCCCGAGGCGTTCCTGGCAGGGTGGCAGTGGGGACACGGCTGTCTCCCGGGGCCGGGGCTGCGCTGCAATCCTGGGCGAGGCGCTCGGGAGTGCTCAGCCCTGCGCTCAGAGCCTCCGTGCCTGGCCAGGTCCGGGTGAAGGATCACAATCCCCTGCCAACTTCTGCTTCTGGTTGTGCAACAGCGATGTTTCCTTAATGTGCGACAGCTGCGCCAGGGCAAACACGGGGTTAGCTGATTTCTAAGCAGCATTTTCAGTGGGTAGGAACAAGGGGTTTTGTCATTGAATAAAACGGGTTGTAGCATCCCAGTACTTTCCAGAAGCTGTGCTTGGATGGCTTGAAACACTAGTCTGTGAAAATGGGTGTTTTCTAATGTGCCAATTTAAGACTCATTGAAGTCAATGTGAACTTTTTTACTGGTTTTTCTGGCCTGCAGTTTGAACTATAAACTACAGTGAATTTAGGGGAAGATCTTCAAATATAGAAATATTCTGGACTGATTGGTGTGGTTTGGCAAGGTCTGCTCTAAGGCTTTATTAGTTTAAATTCAGGCAAGATCTAGGAAAACTATGCTAATCAAAAGGTTCTTAGAAAAACGAGTCCAAATGTCTCAATTCTTCTACTTCATGGAAAAGCATCAGCCAAAAAAAAGAAATGCTTTGCTGAAAATAGAGCCTAAGAGTTCGTCAGTAGTTAAAGCCTCTTTTACTTCATTTAGAAACAGTTTCTTTGCATAGGACAGGTTGTCCAAATGAGGTGCAAATACACTTCCTTCAAAAACATGAAGAAAACGCACATTGTCCTGGACATATCCACTCCTTAAGAAGAGAGGAGGTTTTAGCAGGGTCCCAAAATATAGAGGTATTTCATCTACTGAAAGGTTAAAGAGAAATAAAGGAAGAGAAGCCTTAGGGAGAGGAGGGGATGGATCTTTCAGTGCTTATCTTTCAGCCCACACAGCCACATTACCACATCAGTGTTCCAAATCTGAATTTTTCAAGGTTAGACTCTTCTGCCTTTGCTGGAAGCTAAGCCAATATAGTTTTGTGGAAGTTTTGAACTCAGGCTTCTAAAATAAGATGTTGTGTGTAAGATATTGTGGAATGGGATGTCAAAATCAGTCTTTATTCTTGTAACTTCACCATTTTTAGAGAAATAACATTCCTCTCTTTGTTAATCTGCTAAAAGGGGCTTGCTTACCCAGTAGTACTATGCACATCTTTCCCAAGGAAGAAGGCCATCATGTTCCTCCCAGCACTGTATAGGAAGACTGCTGTCTCACCTTTTATCCCTGTTGTACCATAAAGTCAGCCACCCCTTGATTACAGACATTTTTTGGTCAGCTCTGACAGGAGCTGATCACAAGGGTCCCTGGCATTCACTACCTGTATTGTGCTGATGGTGTCAGCAGATATTTGATGGAGATTTGAGCACCAAGGGGATCCAAGGTGGGGCATGAAGTAAACTGTATCTCAGGCCCTCTGTGCCTCTCCTGCTCCTGCCAGTGCAGGTGGGCTGCTGTCAGAATGCTGGTCTGAGGCCTTTGCTCGTGCAATGTGTGCTGTGGTAACTGCAAGGGTAATTGGAAAATGTGTCCACTGCAGTACAACACAGCTTGTCACCTGCAACAGAGGTATCAAGCCCTTGCAAGTTTTGAGGACAAGAACATTTCACAAGATGTCCTGTAAGGACAAGATGCAAAAGAGGCTATTAGTGCAGAAGCATCTTGTGCTGCTCACCTTTCAGACACTGATGCTTCCCCTTGCTCCCAACAAAAAAAGAAACACACCAAAAAAAAACCCCAAAAAACCCCAACAAAACCAAAACAAAACAACAAACCAACCGAGGCTCTTGCTTAGGAATCTGAGCTTATCTACAGCTGTTTTCCCATTGCAGGCCCTGGGAATATGGTCAGATGTTTCTGGGTAGTCTTTTTGATATTTTTTTGGAACAAAAGGTCTCTGCTGGCTTAGGGCATTAATTTAGGCGGATTTTACTATATGTATAGGGAGCATAAACTGTTACTTGCTATCTCACTTTCTCTCTAAATAAAAATGTATGTGCTTTCCTTTAAAAATGTATTTTGTGTGTAAGTCACATAGTGATAACATTAAATGTGGTATAAAGACGGTAATAAAAGTGGTTGTAACATTTATATATTTTTCATGACCAAAGTGCTCTGCACTGGGAGATGCTATAAACACGTGCTTGCCACTGGAGGAAGCAACAGTCCTATGCTGCAAAAGATATCAGCCACGTGAGCACAGGCCCCAGTTCTTCTGGGCACAGAGTGCGTGGGTAGGCAGCTCTCCAGGACAAAACAAGGGCGAGGGCATCTGGCCCAGCATGTCACTGCCATGGGAAGGTTGGGTGCTATTGCTGAGGAAGAGGCCATGGTGGACAGGGTGGAAAATGCTGCTGGAACGGAGAGGAGACTCCATGCAGAAGCATCTCTCGATGCAGCAGAGGAGGAAGGCCTCCTCCTCCTGTTGTACCTCAGCTCTGCCAGTTCTCCCTCTCCTTTTCAGCTGCAGAGCCCTTTGAGATCCTTGTGTTCAGCATCACCCAACCTACCCAGAAGCCCTGGGCTGTCTTTGGGCACAGCATACTCTATGAGGAAAAACACATAAAAATAGCAGGAAAAGGGAAGAACGGGAAAAATGCTGCTCTTGGCACTTCTGTTGAGATGTAACAGGATGAAGCAGATTCCAGGCATGCCGACTGCCCTCTAGCCGTATCTTCTAAAACAGCCACAGCTTGCAGAACGCCACAGCCTTTTTTGGGGACTTTTTTTTTCCATTGGGAGCGTGGCTCATGTCCCTCCCCAGCCTGCGGCCAAGGGGCCGGTGCGTTCGCTGCAGGCTGCGGCGGGCAGTGTGTGCCAGAACCTATTGGCAGTGCAGCCGCGTGCGAGCGGGAGGCGAGGGAGTGATGGAGCGCTTGGGGCTGCAATCCTGGCATCGCTGCTCTCAGGAAAGCCACGCTCTGGCTGGCAAAGAGCATATGAGAATCTGAACTGCTCTCCATTAGAGGGCACTCAACATTTGCACGGGCACGAATCTGCAAAGTGATTTTTTTTTTTTTTAATGTCCAGTGACTTTTACAGAAAATGCACAATGAATATTAAATAAAGGGCATTGCCTATTACTGCACTTCAGATGCTGTTATGTGGTGTGACTTTTTAAAAACTTTTTTTAAAGGTCATGCTGTTTATGCTGCATAATATATAATACAATTGCACTGTAAATTAGAGACATGCTTTACAGCCTGCTGCTGTGCTTCATGGAGGTGAACAAAATTTGAAATCACGGGTCTCCTCCCCATGGGGAAACAGTTGTGGGAAATATTTAATATCACAATAACCAGGGGCTTAATGGCCTAGCCTAGAGTATGAGTGATGGAGGCCTCTCTAGGACACCTTGCTGCATCTCCTGTCTTCTCTCTAGTTTACCTAGACCATTTTCCCATTCTTAACACTTAAATTTGATTTTAATTTGCTGTTATAGGACATTTAGGATAAAATGCAGCATTACCTAACCCACAGCATTTCCTTTAGCTGCATGTGATATGCTCAGCCCTGAGAGGTTTCTCCCCCAGCAGACAAGAGTTGCCTTTTCTCTGTGTTGAAATGGTTGTAAGTATGTGTAGTTCCTATATACATTAACTCTTTGGAAGGATTAATTGTTCTATTCCTTTATAATACCTTCAAAACTTCAAAAATGCTGTTCTTTTTCTTCCCAGGTAAACCACAGCATAGAAACTAAATTCTGAGGGGACATGCAATCTGCTAAATTCTGAGGGGACATGCAATCTGATTCTAAAAATTCCCTCAGGAATTTCCCTCCTCTTCAGGGAGCTAATATCAAAGGTAAACAAATGAGGTAAAGCCGTGGATTTTTGATAATTATTTAAAAAACCTCAACTCACACATTGCTTCAAAGGGCAGAACACACAAAAAGGAGAGCAGCCATGGAGAACCAGAGTGCATAAAAACACTGGAAGGCATTTTGGTCCCACTTCAGTGTGGAACACGTGTTTGAAAAGGGATGGGAAGAGTGTTGAGAAAATACAGACTGATGCCAGGGTGAAGGAAATACAAAGTAAGGAATTAAGCAAATAAACAGGGTCTTGAAGTGTTGTAGGGTGCAGGAAGAGTGTAACACAAGGAGGAAACTGAGAAGCAGATTTCTTCCACCTAAGGGTACAGGTTGTAAGCCTTGTATGAAATAAAAGTTAGATGGGTTTTTCTTTAAGAAAAATGAAAAAGAACATAATTTCACATTCACAGGTCTCTTACCAGAGACTGTTTTAAGAATAGTGTTTGGACTGGAGGAGCTACACATGGAGGACTGAATTACTCTGTAAGCACTTGCTCCCAAACAGGTTTGCAGGGCAACAGCTGATGCCCAGATGGTGTGGGCACCAGGACTGATGGGCAGCACTGAACAGGGTCTCTGAAGCCAGTTGTCACAACAAATTTTATTTCAAAATTAGATCTAAACTGAGTTATCATCCTAATAGAGCCTTCTTAGAATTTATTCCTGGTCCCTGTATTAGTTATAGAATTTGCTAGAACACCTGTGCATTATTAATGAGTTAACAAAAGGAAACATATGTTTGTAGAACTGATTTTTTAATATAAAGCCATTTCTTTTGTTTAAATATACTATCCATGTGATCTGCAACATATTAAAAATACTTTAGAAAAAGCAGAACAAAGAAACGTTTCACACATATGCACAAATTAGATAATTAAATCAACAATTTCTTCAAATTCTGTCCTAGAAGAGACAGATAACATTTTTTATTTTTCAAATGTCAACAAATGAAAAGAAACTTGATCAAAATTTCAAAAGGATAAAGTATTATCTTATAGGTGAAAACTCCATGGTATTTCTATGACATTCTTGGTCAACACATCTTAAGTTTTATTTAACATGACTGGTTACTGAGAATGGTCCTAGTTATTTGGTACAGCTTAATTTAATGAAAATGTACTATCTTCTACTGAACGTCGTTAAAATACAGCACAAAATCTTTAAAGAATTTTGTGAGGGTTAGCATTACCTCACAAGCACAAGAAGAGAACAAAGTTCTCATTTCTGCTGTATGATAACAACATTTACTCAGGCCACCCACTGATCTTATACATCAGTGCCCTCAAAAGCCTGGCTTCATAGGTGACTGTGTTTTTCCCATTCTGCATCCCACTCTCTTCAAGGGGGTGCTCAATGACAGCTGGGATGTTTCTTCCATACTGTTCACATTGCTTCAGAAACTGCAGGCACTCCTGAATCACACTGTCACGCAGCATGATCATGTGCTTGGACATGTTCTCCAGCAAGGACAGGAAACACCGCTTAGCGTAATACCATGTGTCCGTGCTCAGTTTTTTGTTATATGGCTCCAGGCTTTTAATGATCCTGGAAATACCGAAGTCATAGTTCCCCTTCACACAGTAGAGGGTACCAATGACTAGATTGACAATGCAAAGATGGTAGGTATTTTTATCAGGATGATCATAAGACAGCTGCTCTTCTGCCTTCTCGATCTTCCTCATTAGTTCCTCTGCATCCTCATTCTGGCTTGTCAGGATGTAGGAAACGCAGAGGTTTGCTAACACAATGGCACTGACATCGAGAATGTTGTCGTAGTGCTTTCTAACTATCGGCTCATAGAAGCTAATAGCCTCTTTATACTTGTTCTCCTGCATGAAGAGCACGTGAGCCACATTGAGCTTCCACACCTCGTGTTCCTTGCAGAACTCCACTGATTTGTGGAAGATCTTTTCTACCATTGTGTAGTTTTTCATGTCCCAGTAAATCTTTGCCTGGGCCATCAAGACAGGGACATATTTATCCAGAGTCTCATCATACTCATTAATTGCCTTTTTTAGAGCTTCATCATCCCAATTTTGCCTAGCTTCCTGTACTTGTTTTGTGAGTTTTCTTAGCTGCTCAGTCATCGTCCCTGCTAAATCATCTAGCTTGTGGAAAGCCTCCTCAGGGGCAGTTTGACAAGTAATAACAGCATCCAAGAAGTTGTACAGATAAGGTGTGAGCAGCTTGTAGGTCAGATGGGCATTCTCTGCCAGCACATCAGCTGCCAGGTCGTAGTATTGATGCTTGCAATACAGAAGTAGCAAGTTACCAAAAGTTTCTGGTGGATAGGGGTTCTGCAGGAGAAGAAACTGCAGCTTCCCAAAGCCATCAGTGGGCTGGCTGTCCATGTTCATGAGTGCTTGGTTGTGCAGCGTGACCGGATCCAGCTCCTCCTCGGCCCTCGGCGGCATATCCGTGAGCGCTTCCTGCGCCGCTTTCACGTTGCGCAGCTGGTACTCGATGGCTGCCTTGAGGTTGAAGGCCTCCACCAGGGCCGTGCGGTGCAGGAGCAGCGTGTTGCCCACGCTGCGGACGTCGATGCCCTCGGTGGTCATGCCCACGTTGAGCTCCGGGTGCTGGTGGATGCCGCGCTTGATGATGTCGGAGATGTACTTGAGGGCAGCGTGGTACTGCTTGGCCGCGTAGGAGCACAGCGCCATGTTGTAGGACAGCTCGGGGCAGTACCCCAACACTTGCATGGCGCTGGCAAACTTGCCGCTGGCCTCTTCGTGCCTGCCCTGCCGGTACAGCAGGCAGCCCAGGTTGACCTCGGCATCGGCCCGCTCCGAAGGGTCCTCGGCGGCTCCGGAGCCGCCATCAGCAGCGGCGGCGAGCTCCTCCTCCACCAGGCTCTGGGCCGCCGGGAGGTCGCCCTGGGCATAGTGGACAGCGGCCTGGAGGCGCAGGGC